CAATTTTTCCAGCACCATTTATTAAAAAGGCTATTGTTCTTCCAGTGAGTTTGATTGGCCCCTTTATCAAAGATACCCAGGGCTCCTTAAATTTCAATCCCAGCCATCATGTGGGTGGAGAAGAGGATCAGACGTGCAGCATTTATTAAAAGACTACAGTTCTTTTAGACTAAAGTTCTAAGAATCTTCTTTCAAGCTACTTTTTAATCCCATATCTTTAATCTTGGGAACATTTAGGATTTTGGGTTCTTGGTTTTTGGCTTCTGGATTCTGGCAGAGAGTAGTTAATGGGCCTTGAACCCATTGGCCATGGGTTCAGTGAGCTCCATCTTCAGCCCTTTTTATTTTATTCATTTATTTTTTTAGACAGGGTCTTGTTAAGCTGCCCAGGCTGCCCTGAAACTTGTAGTCCTTCTGCCTCAGTTCTCCGAGCAGCTGGGATGACATGTGCCTGCCTAGCTTGAAACGATAATTTTAGCTAATAGAAAACTTCTGTACACCTGGCATGGTGCTAAGTGTCTTGATAGTACTTCATTCAGTGACCATAACAGCCCTGTGACAGTCGTTCAACATCCCCTCTGTTCATGTCATTGCCAGGTTTCAGCAGGCAGCAGGGTTTGCCCTGAAGGCACAGGGACCCTCAGAACATGAGTCAGTGATTCTGTGTCCTCGGCTCATTTCTATGGAGCAGCCTCTTAAACTCCTGCCCCGCAGCTGGGGTGTGGAGCGGAAGTCCTGCGGCATGGAAGCCCATGGTGGGATTTCCTTGACCAGAGGGACTGGCTCTATTCTCATCTGTTTCTCCTCCAGGAGCCACTAAAACAAGCCCGTTCTGTGGCTTAATGAGATTTACCTTATCTACTGAGGCAGAAAAACCAGAAACACCCAGGCAGCGTGATAAGGAGACAGGATACAAAGATCTGTGGCCAAAAACAGTTGGAAAAACCCAGAGAGTGTTCCGTCCTTGAGTGGTGAGCAAGCCTAGGCGAAGGGTAGGGAAGGGACTGGAGGAAGTGAACTCCTTCGCCAGAGCCCCCTGCAGCAGCCTCCCCGAGCCCATCCTCTGCCGCAGAATGAACTCTCAAAGCATTCCCAGTCCCCTTCACGCTTCTAGATTCCACCATGGAGAAAAGCTCCCCTGGGCGGTGCTGAGTCTTAGCTGTCTTTGATTATGGCAGAGAAAGTGCCTGAGCCTCAGAGCCTTGGACAGGTGACGCAAAGCTACAAATGCTGCCGGGATACAAAGTCTCCTTTCAAACAACATGCATTTCAGTTAGAAAGTAAATTGGGTTAGAGCAAACAGATCCACGGTCTTAGTCCTCTGGGGACTCTGAGAAAATGCCTTAGATTGGTACCTTTGGAACAACCAAGCTCTATTTGCCAGTTTGGGAACCTGGAGAGTCCAAGGTCAAGGCACCGCAGATGCAGAAGATGTAGTGTCCGGCAAGGGCTGGCTTTCTGGCTCACAGACGATGCTTCCTTGCTGTGCCCTAACACAGTGGCAGGCTGCCGAATCTCCCTTGAGCCCCTTCCGGAGGGCTCCACTCTCCTGACCTAATCACTGCCAAAGGTCGTACCTCCTAGAACCATCACCATGGAGGCTGGGATGTCAACACAAGGATCTAGGGGGATAAAAATATTCAGACCAGAGGGATATGTGTGACAAAAAACGGTGATACTTTCAGACAGGACTGGTTCTTTTCCCCTCAAAGTCTACTTCCTGCTCCAAGATTCATCCACTAGTCTTTTCTTACCTGTGACAGTGTTGAGCTCTTGCCCTTCTCACTGGATCTCTACGTCATTCATTCAACTAAAACGCACCAGGCTGAACATTGGGGGGTCTTACAATCTCGTCTGCAGACCTCATGCCTCCTTCCTCCCCAAAAACTTGGCCTTCCTGCAGCGCTACTGCGAGGACTAGCAGTAAGGAACAGAAACCCCTGCACGTCGGAGAGGCTCGATAGATGGATGCTGTCATAAAGAGGGTGGATGGCGAGGGTGCTGCACACACTGGAGCCACGCTGTCCCAGGCCCAAAGCCTGTCTCTGAGACAGAGAAGCCAGGCCTATTCCTTAGCCTGTCTGCATCCCCTCATTTTCATGGGCCCCGCTGAGCTAGTGAAGCCCGCCTCCGGGCTGCTGGGAAGATCAAGTGAAATCGAGTATATGAAGCATCTGACGCAGAGCCTGGCACATACTGCTCAATAAATAGGAGTTCTAATCTCATTAGCTATGTATGTTTTCTTTCTCTTCCTTTACGTTCTGGAAGTTTAAATATGTAAAGACTGAAGTTTCTGAGAATGTTTGTCAAGGCGATGGAACCAGATGAAGCTGTATTTTATGTCATTCATTCAACAAACATGACAGCCAGCACTGAAGAAGCTTCACTCCAAGTGAGGATGCAGACAAGTTAAATTACAGCGCCGGCAGGACACCTTCATTTTGTCTTTGGGTCCTTCATTATGATTTTTTTTAAATGGAATATCGAACTCAGGGCCTCAAGCTTGCCAGGCAGGCACTGTGCCACTGAGCCACATCCCCGGCCCATTCATTACAATTTTATAGAAATACAACAGATTTTTGTGTGCTGATCTTGCATCCTTGCTAACCTCCTTTGTTAGTATTAATCACTTCTGAGTGGATTCCTTAGGATTTTCTATTATATAATATTTGCAAGTAGAGATAGTTTTACCTCTTCCTTTCCGATCTCAATACTTTGTATTTCTCTTTCTTACCTCTTCTGCCTGACTGGAACCTCTAATACGATGTTGAACAGAAGTGGCAAGGGAGGAGGATGTCCTTGTCTTGTTCTTGATCTTGGGGAGGGAGTGTTGGTCTTTCCCCACTGAGTACCACATTAGTTGTAAGGTTTTTAGCAGGCTGAGAAAGCGCTTTGCAATTCCTACTATTGAGTGTTGTTTTTTTTTTTGTCGTGAAACCATACTGGGTCTTGTCAAATGCCTTTCCTGCAGCTGGTGAGATGATCACATGATGTTGGTTTTTATTCTATTGATATGATGTATCCCATTTAGGCCATGCGTGGTAAATACTTCACAGGGAAGAGACAGGCACAGCAGGGGAGGGAGGGAGGGAGGCAGGCTGCAGATCTTGGTAAAAGGCTTCCCCGAAGAGGGCCCTCCTCAGGGCACTGTGGCGGGAGAAAATCTGGATACTCAGAGGGGCAAAGAAAGTGCACTTGAAGCAGGTGATGTGGTGAAAGTTGAGCATGCGAAGAGGTGTGTTCATGGAGCACAAAGCCACCCCCTGGGTGGAGGAGGGAATCGCACCAAGGAGGCATAGCTTGCCCCTTTTCTTATCCTCTTTGGCCTGCTCAGTGTCCAAGGTAGGCACCAAAGTCTCGCAGCTGTCGGGACCGGGTCTAGGCACCTCACTCCTCCTCCCCGACCTCAGAATCGCCATCCGTTCTGATGCAGCAAGACCAGTGGCCTCCACGGCCTCCATAGTGACCCTGAGGCTCCTCGAGACTCCCTTCTGCTGGGCCTCTTGGCAAGGATCACAGGTCCCTGCAAAATAGTCAGCAGCTTATGAAGCAGCTTTCCAAGACACAGAACAGCTCAACAACTAAGGAAGCCACCATGCAATAGAACCAGAGAGAACATCTTCAGAAAGACCCTGGGAGATTAAAATCATCTTGCTTAACTCTAACATGACCACAGAGTAAGCCTTATGGGTTAACTTTTTCTTTAATTAAAGAAACTAACAAAGCCAGGAATATAGCTCAATGGCACAAGCGCCTGCCTGGCAAGCACAAGGTCCTGAGTTCGATTCCCAGTACCAAAAAACTAACAAAAGAACAATGAAGACAAAATCAAAACAACAAAAATAATACCTGACCTCAAAACAAAATGATAGGAATTAACAATGGTTGCTACATTACATACTGTTATCTTCAACGAAGTTGCTCAGTCCACCAGACATAAGAATGTAAGATTGATCAAACAATCAAAGACAGTAACAAGTAATAAAAAAAAAACATTGGAAATGATGCGGAGCATCACCATACAAGAAGGTAGTAGTTCAACACTGGTTCTTATACTGCTTATTGTTGTTTTCAGATCAGTTATTATGATTACCGGATTCAAGTGTGCAAAATTGGTCAAGAAAAAAGAAAATTGTAAGCATTGACTGTATGGGTTAACTTTTTTTTAATTTTGTTTTTAAGTTGGGCATGGTGGCACACTCCTGTAATCATAGCATTCTAGGATGCTGAGACAGGAGAAACTGCAAGTTCAAGGCCAGCCTGTGCAACTTGGCAAGACCTTGTCTCAAAATGAAAGACATAAAGGGCTGGAGGCATAACTCAGTGATAAACTTGCATCTGGTCGCAGTCCTCAGGAAGGAAAAACTTGTTTTTAAATTTTAATTAAAGGGGGGTAGTGTTTTTCCCAAAAGCAACTGTTACTATTTTCTTGTAGCCAGACGGTCAGTGAGTACATAAGCATTTCTGTGTCCCATCTCTTTTCGTGTTCACCTAGCGATAGATTCCAGAGATCATTTTAACTCAGCACAGATAAATCTCTCATCCTTTGCCACAGCTGCATAGTCACGTTAGAAGGCATGCGTCAGAGGGATGAATCATAGTTTATTTCCCTGATCTGCTATTGATGGATGCTAGGTTGCTTTCAAGCCTAGACTATTACAGCGTCACAGCTAAGATATATGTATGTAGGTCTTCAGACACATCTGTGGGATAAACTCGCAGAAGAGCAATTGCTGGATCAAAGCGTATGCTAAGCCTTGTCATGTGATGTCAGCCTTGTCTGGACAGCAAATGCAGCGGGACCCTGGGAATAAGCACAGGAAAAGGCATGCTGATGACAGATGCAGGTGGCATCACACGGTCCCCAGATAAACAGCAAACATTCGTTGAGCTCCTCCTCAGCCAGTGGGCCCTGGCAGGAAAGCGGGAGGGAATGCATCGTTTGTCACACTGGCCTGTTGAACCACCGCTAGCCTTGTCTTGAACTATGCTTTGCCCTCGCCTTCACCTCCTCTTCTGTTTGTGAGGCAGGGCTCAACCTGAACAAGCACCTGATCCCCTAAGGCACTGGTTTTGGATTTCTGGGCTGTATGGCGAGAGACTGTGAGACAGGGTCAGGGCCCAAGGAATCTCTTTCCATCTGCGGAGGATAAAAGACCCTGTGGCAATATGAAGAGAATTTCAGAGTTGGGAGGGGTGGGGCAGGGAAGGAAAAGGGATATGGGGAACCCTTGACTGTGATGCTTACTCTAACACACCCTCCTCTCCCCAGGTTACAGCCATCCTGCCCTGGCAAAACTGGTCCAACAGCCTCAGAATGTGGTATGTCTCCCTGTTACAGAAAGACCAAATGTAAAGACCAAGTGTTTCATGGCCATTCATGGAATCTCTGAGCAGCCCTTAGAAACAGCCCATTCATTCCTTCATTCATCATCCCACAAAAGGTATCAAGCTCATACTATACCCACAGAGGCAATCAGTTAACCACACACATAAGCAGGGGCTGGGGATTTAGCTCAGCGGCATAGTGCCTGCCTGGCAAGCCCAAGGTTGTGAGTTCAATTCCTGGTACTGGAA